CGTCCATAACTCTAAACGAACAACTAGCAAAAGCGCCAAATGGAAAGAAATCTTTCCTTCAAGCATTTTTCTATGATGAACAAGTGTATTTTCAAGTGTTACCTCATTGAATCCATTGATTGATTTATTGTACTTTTGGAATCAATTTCGATCTTCAACCATTTAAGCTGCTGTTCGAGGTCAAATAAATCTTTATCCTAACCCTTTTTGCTATGAATCGCAATAGAATCGCGAGCAAAGAAGCAATCGATGCCAACCAACCATTCAGAATCGGCTACGACATATACACATCAATTTTACCGTCTTTTGGAAACACGAATTTTTGTTTTTAGGCAACTATTTAACTTTTTAACGCAATGGGTTTCCAGTTTACCTGCCTGTTGTAATTCATTTTTCAATCTACCTACATATTTTGTAATAGAAAAGTTAACAATAACATTTATCGCAATGAAAAGCAAAGTAAACAATGTGAATGTTTTCAAAGTTTCTTCAGAAAGTTTATGATATCATTTCTGAACACTAAAACAAAGAATCCAATCATGCCGTACCAGCCGAGGGTTTTCAAAATTCCAAAGAATCTTCCGGAAGTTTCTGACCTCTGCTCTGGAACTTTTCTTCTCTCTCCTTTTTCCTTCTCTTCCAGTTTCTCGAGAACTAAACGATATTTTGCGTAAAAAATTTCACAACTTTTCATACATGTTGTTGCTTAAAAGGCTACTGTAGCTCTTAAAATATTGGAAGACTACAATGGCTTAGTGTAGTTAAAAAAAGCACTTCGTCTTCGTTTAGCTTCGGTGTGTTCTCGACGCTCGATGATCTGTTCCATTATGTGACCTAAGTTGTGAAAAATAACTGCAAAGTCTCTTTAATTTCACAAACATTCATTGCCAAAGTCGATCGGTTGGTCGAAACACTTGTTGAAGTCTTTTCGAACCTGGACAACACTAAACGGGAATTGCTATCTACATTTCGCAAATACGAATGTAAAAAGCCGATCGAGAAAAGTCAGACAGATTGATCTGATCTGACACTTGAAAAAATATTTATCGCTTTTCTTACAACCTACGTGCAATCGTTGCATGGCTCCATTCCCAAGGTGTAGTTATGACGACACTCGTCACAGGAACGACCATAGGCAACTAAAGATTCGAGCGTACAAGTAGAGCTTCGAGCAATCAGGATTATGGGCTATTAGTTAGGTTTTTTTGAGTTTCGAGACAAGTTTTACCGTTTTTACTCTATTAGTACTGGGGTAGATCGAAAAAAATAGTACTGCACGCAAATTTGCATTTATTCAAAATTAATTTCCATTTGTGAGTATTTAGTAGCCCACTTCTTTGCTAATTAAGTAAATGTGTTTGCTTTGCAAAAAAATATGCCATGACGACGGCTTTGGATGAATCGGAAGATGCTCTCATTCACTGTTTCAAGAACGATCGTCCAGTTCTAGAAGGAGCAAAACAATTGGCCGAAGCTCAACTTGAACAAGCCATCAATGGAGTAAATGATCGTGTTGAAAACATTGTTTTTGATGACTCGGATGTTTCAGTCTCTGATCTATAATTGTTACTTTTTATGTTTGCTGTTATCCTTGTTGATGGATTTACTAAGTTTCTATTTGATTTGTTTGGTCGAAAAAATAGTGCTGCGCCCCTAATAGTACTGCGCTCTGATCCGTCACAAAAAAAAATAGTACTGTAAAAATAGCACTAATAGAGTAAATACGGTATTGATTTTCGTAAATGCACAAACAGTTGCGGTCGAACGGAAGCTGTAGATCAATTAAACAACTGTAGGCGCAAGTCATAGGAAATCGAAAAATAAGTCGATTTGTCACAAATAATCGATTCACGGGTATGTATTCCAAAAGCAGACGGTTTACGCGCCAAGAGAGAGAGATTTGTCTTATCTGGGCGCATGTCTCATTGTTTTTTTTTCAACACTTTCCGGAAAGGACAACTTTTGGTTATTCGACGTGTTCCAAGCAAAATGCCTATAATTAAACATGAATAAGCAAAGAGATTAGATGGATTAAATTCTAGAATGATTGTCTCGTAATATTGAGAAATAAACGCGTATCTGTAAGTAATATTAGGTTCTGCAGTTATAAATGCGCGTTTTTAAGATAACAACTCTTTATTTTAAAACCAACAGTTTAACAGCTCAAGCAACAATATATTCAACATTTGTTTCCATCTTCCATGCAAAGAATGAATTCCCTCGGCGTAAAAATTGGCTTGTTTTAAGGCAAAGCAATCGGCTAACCATTTTTCGACCTCTTGAACATCTTTGAACCTGTTTCCAGCCCAATGGTTTCGCATTGAGCGAAATAAATGGTAATCCGAAGGAAAAATATCCGGAGAATATGGCGGATGCGGGAGAGTTTCCCAGCCCAACTCTTCGAGTTTTTCCTGAACAATCTTTGCAACGTGTGGACGGGCGTTATCTTGAATGAACTTTATGTTTGAAGGATCAAGGCCTTTTTGTAGCAATACATTGTTCACTCGTTCCAGTTGTTGCGCATACGTTTCACCCGTGATTGTACAGTAGCGGACAAAGACTTAGCATAATTTAGTTTTTTTTGTAATAGAACTCGCTGTTTGTGCAATATTTACCTAAAACTTCGAAATATAATAATAAAACTTAATGTTTTAACAAAAACAATTGGCATTTAGCCAAATAGACTTTCAGAAAAAAATTTTGAAGATTTTTATACAAAACTGGTGCGACAAAGACTTAGCATATTTTTAATAACATATTAACTAAAGCTGGTAACAAATGTTTTTGAAATCAGAACAACAAAATTCGTTTTTAACAATTAATACTTCGTAGTAAAACCATTCGAGGCGATGACAGCATCACATCTGCAAGGCATGGACTCGATAAGTTCATCGGTCGTCTTCTTTGGAATCTCCGACCACTTCTTGGCTAAGAGATCAAATTTATCCTGAGCATTTTGATTTTTACTGCCTTTGCACATTCTTTCCAGCGTTTCCCACAAATGCTCAATAGGATTCAGGTCGGGGCTTTGGCTTGGCCACTCCATAACGGCAAAGTTTTGTTACAACAGCCAGTTTTGAACGAGTCGAGCCTTGTGTTTTGGATCGTTATCATGCTGAAAAGTGAAATTTGGAGGCATAGTTTGAACTGCATTTGGAAGCATATGATTTGTCAAAATGTCCAAGTAAACTCGTTGATCCATAATCCCAGTGATTCGCTTGAGTGGTAGAGTTCCATAAGAAGAGAAGCCACCCCATACGAGAACGTTTCCGCCGCCATGTTTGACTGTAGGGAGAATGTAGTTTTTATTGTATCTTTGGTTAACTGGACGTCGAATATACTGAATTCCATCAGAACCAAGTAGGGAAAACTTGCTTTCATCAGTGAACAAGCAATCTTTCCACTGCTGAAGAGTCCACCCTTGATGCTCCTTAGCAAACTTCACTCGGGCTTTCCGATTTTTTGCTGAAATCAATGGTTTCTTGGCAGGGCCTCTCCCGAATAGTCCTTTAGCGTTTAGACGACGTTGCACCGTTCGCGGAGTGATCTTATCTTTCAAAGAAGTTGGTAAATCTTTGTAGATCTCAGTTGCAGGCTCCTGAGGATTGCTTTTTGATCAGGTTTGAATCCTGTTATCATCTCGAGTAGTTGTTTTCCGTGGAACACCAACATTCTTTTTTGCAATTGTGCTTCCTTTTGTCTTGAAAAGCTTCAAAATTCTCGAAACAGTCGACTGGTGCACCCTCAGAATGGTAGCAATTCGATCCTGTCTCTCACCGGCTTGATGAAGAGCCACAATCGTATCCCGAATAGCAGGCTGGAGTTGTTTCTTGCGACCCATTGACTGAAATTAATAAAATAATAAATTTCAATCAAATTATAGCTCAAATTAAGAAAAAAAAACACAGAAAAATAATCAAAATTACTGGGAAATGCAAAATTATACTAAGTCTTTGTCGCACCAGTTTTGTATAAAAATCTTCACAATTTTTTCTGAAAGTCTTCTGACTTTCAGAGTTTTCTTCTGACTGTCAGAGTTTTTTCTTCTGAATTTGTTCTCTGGCGAGCAGGTGCTCGTCATCTACTTCAAGTAGAACTTCTTTATTCGAGATTTCTTATTTAATTTGGCGTCATTTCGTATATAAAGTTTAGCCGTCAAAGCTCTTTTTGTGTAGAAAGTTTTCAAAAGTCGCTGTTTTCCGTTTTGTCCTCTTTTTAGTAAAATTAGTTATGGCGTAATCTATTATCAATTTAGGTACTGTAGCAAGCTTTCATACATATAATTCATTGTGAGATTCATTCAATGTAAACAACTGAAATCGACTCCGAGGAGAGGAACCCATTTTATACCATTCGCGTCACTGTACGCTATAGAAGTTTGAATTTGCCGAAGAGCATTTAAACTTACGTGGCTAACGTTGAGGTTGTGGTTGTCGAGGAAAAACGGATGCACCAGAAAAGAAAATTTTTCCGCTTTTGAAGCCAAAGTAAACTTTAACGAACAAAACTTGCTGCTTAAACAATAAAAAGCAAAAAAACCTTTCCTAAATTGCACCTAACAAAAGAAAACACCGTACGTTTAGAAATGAAAATGTGTCGGAAAGTATTCAATCATTTAACTGAGTATTCCATGTTTGTTTAATTTTCTATAAAGCCTTTGAAAGTGGGCAAAACTTCATTCTCTCTTTTTCGCCTGCATCTTTTTTAGAATATTAAGCAATGCTTGTTTGTTAATCTCGGCCAATTGTTTTTCGAACTCTACTTTTTCATCCATTTTAAATACATCTGAATCGGAACCGAAAATTTGCATCGAAAAAGGGTCAAATCCCTAATGCATATTTTTTAAAAGTTGTTTTCGAGGATAAAATCGCAGTTGCCGGACTAGCGATGTCGAAATTCGGAATCAGCATGAAAAACTGGTCCAGAAAAAGTAGATTATGAAAAAATTGCCCTCCCCCCGCTACTCAGGAAGTACCCTGATCATTGTTTCTTTTCAGGAAATGAAAGTCTTTCAGTCTCTCAACTGCGTTGTCTGCAAGTTGCCATGTAAGTTATGCGTTTTATTTAATTCTATGGCATACCACATGCCTAAGTGCACTGTGTTAATTTATTATTTTTAGTTGCTCGAAAGGCCAACGAGGCTCGGTCACCACGACGTTCATCCTGCGGACCGGCGATGTGTCACGAATGCTTCGAGAAGGAGAGGCTGTTGGAGAAAGAGGAGAGGAAACATCAATGTGTTCGGAAACCGTGCTTTACAAATCCCAATTTTGCATTTTACCTGATTGGTAAGTCAATTTGTTTTGTTTAAAGTGTACACGGCGCAGCTTTTTAAAAATAAAAGAATATTATTTGCTTGTATTTCCGATTTAGATGTTCTATCGCAAGAAGATTCCTTGGCACTTTCACCTTTGGGAGATGGTTATTTGCTTGTCAAGGTCTTTCTTGCTCTTTATGTAGATCAGTTTCGTTTAGCCCTTCAAAATTCCCGAATGTCCAATTTGTCATGATGAATGTAAGTGTTTCATTGTTTATTTGGGGAATAAAGTATTCATTTTGGTTGAATATTTATGTTTAATTTAGATTCGAATCAAGTTGACGGAAAGAAATCGCGTTCGCTCTTTTGCAATCACCTTATCTGTACGGAATGTTATCTGAAGAATCGCACGCCAAACACGAATGCGAAAAAAAAGCAATGGACCCACCGGTTTACTTGCCCAATTTGTAACGAAGATACCATTTCCAATGGTGATGCGTGGGTTGATCGATTTCAAGGTAATTGCTATAATTTAAAAGAACTTTCATCCGTTAGATTTCTTGAATGAATTGCCAATGATGACACGTCAAATGGATGGAAGGAGGAACCATCGTGTTTGTGATGATTGCAAAGAGACGGTATAGTTTGAAAGATTACATTAATAAAGTCAACTTCCAGGGCATTATTGACAAGATGTATCACTGTAGTGAATGTGATTTGAAGGTTAGTGGGTTAATTGACATATAGTTTTTCCTTTTAGATTTGTTCAGATTGCCTTGTTGAGGAGCATCGGTCTCATGAGACAACACGACTTTTGAAGAATGAAGTGAGTTTCGGGTTAGCAAATAAGAAATGATGTATCTAGCTTTGTGAAATGTCCGAAGCTCAACAGAAAGATTCGACCCAGATGGTGAAAACGTACAACGATTTGTTTGCATTAATGCACGAGAATACTTTGAAGGGTCTGGAGGCTTTTGGAACGGTATACTTATTTCGAATTATGTTAATATGCAGATTTTTTTAGAAATTGACTTTGAAAGAGGAAAACTCTAAGAGCATTTCGACATTTGGAGAAGCGAAGAAGACACTTGAAAAATGCGCGTAAGTTTTTGTCTTTGAATGCTTAATAATCCGGTTTAGGAAGCTGAGGGAGGACTTTGAGACGATTTCGGAGAAACTCATGCCTCATTTGCGTCGATATGAGACGAAAGTCAAGGTGAGTTTAAAAGTTTTGTGACTCACCTCTTCAAGTTTTAGACATTGACTGAAAGAATTGACAAAGATGACTATCAAGGACTTAAAGATGGATTTGAAGAGTGAAAGCAGCGATGTGTTTTTCTTGATTTTGCAAATTTGAAGCTGTATTATTTTCTGCCTGTACGAAGCTGTATCACTTTTCAATATTATTTTGTGTTACTTTGGTCACATTGATTTTATCAGTGCAATAAATATTTTGGCCGGTTAAAAAAGCGAAAAGTAAAAGTAAAAGTGCCGGTTAAATGGTATGTGATTGCTGTAGCGGTTTCTCTTTTTAAAAGGCAGGTTTTGTTTAATTAATTGTCGTGGGGCTGGACAGAAGATATTATAAATTGCTGAGTTTTGTTAGGTGGTTTTGGAAAAATAACCGTTAAATTTTTGTTGGAAATAAGGCTGGCCGTACAAATATTTTTACCCGTCCTGTAACAGGGAAAATATTTCAAAACCTTTTTACCTAGATGTTATTGAACTCCTTGATGAACATCTCCTCGTCGATTCTCTTCTTTGCAATCGCTTTTCTTCTGAATTTGTTCTCTGGTGTTCGTCATCTACTTCAAGTAGAACTTCTTTATTCGAGATTTCTTATTTAATTTGGCGTCATTTCTTATATAAAGTTTAGCCTTCAAAGCTCTTTTTGTGTAGAAAGTTTTCAAACATTGCTGTTTTCCGTATTGTCCTCTTTTTAGTAAAAATAGTTAAGGCGTCAATTTAGGTACTGTAGCAAGCTTTCATACATATAATTCATTGTGAGATTCATTCAATGTAAACAACTGAAATCGACTCCGAGGAGAGGAACCCATTTTATACCATTCACGTCACTGTACGCTATAGAAGTTTAAATTTGCCGAAGAGCCTTTAAACTTACGAGGCTAATGTTGAGGTTGTGGTTGTCGAGGAAAAACGGATGCACCAGAAGAGAAAATTTTTCCGCTTTTGAAGCCAAAGTAAACTTCAACGAACAAAACTTGCTGTTTAAACAATAATAGACAAAAAATATTTCCTAAATTGTACTTAAACAGGGAACTGTTTGAACCCGGAATCGATCTGGGGTATGTGACCTATGTACAAAACGCGACCTTGAAAATTTAGGGGATAGGTGTTTTTTATTTTTACTCCTCTATTTGTAGATCTTTGTAGAAACGCATTTGAAATTTTGGCAATTTTTGAAAAATATGGTCACATCTAAATCAATAACAATATAATCTCAATACATATTTCCCTTTTCAACAGTCGAGCTGTCTCATGCAATCGATGATTTTCAACGACACATACAGCACAAATCTAAACAACGGTTAGGTTTTTATCAAAAATAGGCCGACAAAAATTATAAGAATTGCAAAGTTTTAGGGTTTTACTAAACGAACACACACACCTTGGAGTCGTTCCATAGCCATGCCAGCCGTCGCAAACCGTCGACTCCAATAAATATAGTTTTCCCTGTTACTGGTAGCTGCTTTACATTTCAAACCGGCTGTTGAGAGTTCTCTCTCATGCATCGATTCTCTTAATCACTTTGATGTAGCGTTCATGTTTCGCACAATCGTTCCCCAAGCCACCGAGTTTCCCGAAAATCGCCACGGCTTTTCTGCCGGTGAGAAAATCGACGACAAAGTTGAGAACATATCGTTGTGGATCGTCTACAACACCTTTTGGCACATCCAACGTCGATGTCATTCTGAAAACCAAAATAGTCATTATAGGCTTCACACTAAATTTTTTCCTTACAAGTCCTTTCAAATTTGAATTCCTTCCAATCACCTGTTCTTCCAGAAGCGAAATTTTCAAACCGAGAAAGCCACGGAGAAGCTGGTTAGCGAACGAGAAAAATGCAGCTCGGAGGGACGAGATAGATCGGATAAAGCTGAAACACGCTTTAAACCAGACACGATACTCATAATCTACCTTCCGGTTTACTTCGATGTATTGCTTGGTGAACGCTTTCGAAACGATCAGTTCATAGAACGAAATGAGAGATGTCACTGATCAGTTCATCGATTCGTTGATAGAAAGGTTTGAGGAGAGTTTCGTCAAACAAATGAGCCAAATAACGGTCGATCTCCGAGCATGATACTTGATTGGGAGAAAGTGGAAATGAAAAGAATTTTTAACATTTTTGATTGAGTCCAGCTAATGGCTTTGAAATATATAATCAACTATAATCAGCTTCTTAACAGTAATAAAATGTCGAACAAAGAGTTTTGTGGAGTTGATGCATGAGCAATTGTGCCTCTGATATAAAGCTGGCCTTCTGTGGATGTTGGCTGATCAGTTGGATTCCTGAAGCACAATAGTAATTCGTTTTCTCAAAAACAAACTGCTTTTTTCGAAATTGAATGAAAAATAAAAACAAAAACTGACCTTTAAAAAGAGAAACCGCTACAGCAAGACACCAATCAAATACCATTTAACCGGCATTTTCAGGTCAAAATATTTATCGCACCGATAAAATCAATGTGATCAAAGTAACACAAAATCATATTGAAAAGTGATACAGCTTCGTACAGGCAGAAAATAATACAGCTTCAAATTTGCAAAATCAGGATAAAACACATCGCTCCTTTCACTCTTCAAATCCAGCTTCAAGTCCTTGATAGTCTTCATTGTCAATTGCTTCAGTCAATGTCTAAAACTTGAAAAGGTGAGTCACAAAACTTTTAAACTCACCTTGACCTTCGTCTCATAGCGACGCAAATGAGGCATGAGTTTCTCCGAAATCGTCTCAAAGTCCTCCCTCAGCTTCCTAAACCGGATTATTAAGCATTCAAAGACAAAAACTTACGCGCATTTTTCAAGTGTCTTCTTTCCTTCTCCAAATGTCGAAATGCTCTTACAGTCTTCTTCTTTCAAAACCAATTTCTAAGAAAGTCTGCATATTAATATAATTCGAAATAAGTATACCGTTCCAAAAGCCTCCAGACCCTTCGAAGTATTCTCGTGCATTACTGCAAACAAATCGTTGTACGTTTTCACCACATTGGCCGTATCTTTCTGTTGAGCCTCGGACATTTCACAAAGCTAGATACATCATTTTTTTATTTGCTAACTTTAAATTTACTGCTTTCTTCCAAAGTCGCGTTGTCTCATGAGATCGATGCTCCTCAACAAGGCAATCTGAACAAATCTAAAAGGAAAAACTATATGTCAATTAACCCACTAACCTTCAAATCGCATTCATTACAGTGATGCATCTTCTCAATAATGCGCTGGAAGTTGACTTTATTAATTTAATCTTTCAAACTATACCGTCTCCTTGCAATCATCACAAACACGATGGTTCCTCATTCCTTCCATTTGACGTGTCATCATTGGCAATTCATTCAAGAAATCTAACGGATGAAAGTTCTTTTAAATTATAGCAATTACCTTGAAATCGATCAACCCACGCATCACCATTGGAAATGGTATCTTCGTTACAAATTGGGCAAGTAAACCGGTGGGTCCATTGCTTTTTTGTCGCATCCGTGTTTGGGGCGCGATTCTTCAGAAAACATTCCGTACAGATAGGGTGATTGCAATAGAGTGAAAACGATTTCTTTCCGTCAACTTGATTCGAATCTAAATTAAACATAAATATTCAACCAAAATGAATACTTTATTCCCCAAATAAACAATGAAACACTTACATTCATCATGACAAATTGGACATTCGGGAATTTTGAAGGGCTAAACGAAACTGATCTACATAAAGAGCACGAAAGACCTTGGCAAGCAAATAACCATCTCCAAGTTTTAGTTTTAGACATTTTTTTGATTTTCGGCGCCGACTCATTCTCCCCAACCCAATACATTTCGCAAATACGAATGTAAAAAGCCGATCGAGAAAAGTCAGGCAGATTGATCTGATCTGACACTTGAAAAAATATTTATCGCTTTTCTTACAACCTGTGCAATCATTGCATGGCTCCATTCCCTCGGAGTAGTTATGACGACACTCGCCACAGGAACGACCATAGGCAACTAAAGATCCGTGCGTACAAGTAGAGCTTCGAGCAATAAGGACTATGGACCATTAGTTAGGTTTTTTTGAGTTTCGAGATAAGACTTACCGTTTTTACTCCATTAGTACTGGGGTAGATCGAAAAAAATAGTACTGCACGCAAATGTGCATTTATTCTAAATTAATTTCCATTTTTGAGTATTTAGTAGCCCACTTCTTTGCTAATTAAGTAAATGTGTTTGCTTTGCAAAAAATGTGCTATTACGACGGCTTTGGATCAATCGGAATATGCTCTCATTCACTGTTTCAAGAAAGATCGTTCAGTTCCAGAAGGAGCAAAGCAATTGGCCGAAGCTCAACTTGAATAAGCCGTCAATGGAGTAAATGATCGTGTTGGAAACATTGTTTTTGATGATTCGGATTTTTCAGTCTTTGATCTATAATTGTTACTTTTTATGTTTGCTGTTATCCTTGTTGATTGATTTAATATTACCTGTTTGGTTTGTTTGGTCGAAAAAAATAGTGCTGCGCCCCTAATAGTACTGCGCTCTGATCCGTCACGAAAAAATAATACTATATAGCACTAATAGAGTAAATACGAATATGTATAAAACTTTTTGCCCTCGTTCGCCCAAATGCATGAGATTTAGAAGGGAAGTTGTAGCATATTCTTTAGAAAGTCCCTCACGGGTTGGAGGAAAGTGCGGCTGTGGTCTAGTGGATAAACGTCTTGTGTCAGGCGTTTGGACGAACGAGGGCAAAAGTTATATACATATTCGTGATCAGCATGGTCGATTCTATAAAATCCATTTGGTCTCAGCTCAATCCCAGATGTCGATCTGAAGGACTTCCCTTGTCAGAGGGAAATCAGACAACGAAAATAAGCATCAAAAAGCGCTAAACAAGACGAGAAAGAGCTTCTTAAAAGTCTGCATTATGTCGGCAGTATAGATACATTTGTTGAAACTTTTTATTAGAAATATTAAAAGAAAAAGCAGTACATTTTATGTTTTCAGATTAGTTTTCTCTTCTGATGGCGAGACGGCTTATTGCAGCGAAAAAGTGTAGGTAACTATTTGTAGCACCCATGTCTACTCGAGCTGCGAGATATTGGGGTTTTATT